GTCTTTCCCAGATGCTTCAAGATGGATAACCCACCTCTCCTCCTTCCTTGTGGGAAAAAGCAAGAGATTTGTCAGCCCCCAGCTAATAATATCACCTCAGATTTCCTCTCCCAGAACACTTGCATGCTGCTCAGAATGATGTATGAGCAGTAATGCCACAGGCTGAGAGCTGTGCTGGAGTTCTGGGAGCAGAGCCACCTGCAGCCACCAACCTCAGCTACAGCACAGACACAGCCTGGAATCACATCCCACTACCACTGACATGCAATTTCTGGAGTCTCTATAGAATACAACTCCTGGAACTAACATAGGTGCCACAGACTGAACTTCAGGATTTTGTAAATCAACTTTTGGCTATGCAGTGTATTTTGGCCACTTCCACAGTGTCAAACATCACCAGTTCTAAAAAAACAAGCCACATACAGGAGATGAAGGTATTGGTGCTTCTTCTGGAGACATTAACCTGTAGGATTCACAATATTCATCACAGAACCCACTAAAAAAAGTTCATGCCAACATCAGTTGGTCTCATCCATGCTATGGAAAATGGAGGTCAACGCAGCAAATTGAGGTTCCTTTTTGTGAAGATTTGAAAGCAAACCAGAAGACGAGAGAAAGGAGTTTCCTCCCTGAAGGAAGACTTGAATTTACATGGAAATCCTTGATGCTTGGCTACAGCAGTAAGCCCAGGAGGAAGCAGACCTGGCAAACAAGGTGTTGACCTGGAGATGGCTTCAGGCCAGCATGAAGTCCATTTGTACAGCATGGGAAAGGAAAAATTGCTTTTCAGTCTTCACATATTTGTGTCACAGATACATTTAAGGGATGCTGACTGCACCACACTCCAGGAATGAGAGCACCTCCAATTCCAACAGGGAATCTTAGACATTTCTTAAGAAGGAGCAAAGAGATTGTCACATGGAAGAAACAGCATTTCAACCACTACCATAGAGTCCAGAGATGTCCAACAAATACTCAGCCAGAGTCAACAATTTGACAGGAACCAAAGGGCAGCAAACATTTTGCATAAGTTAGTGCAGACAGTAGGTGCCTTCATCTTTGACAGGAGGTGTGCAGTAGCTCAGCAAGATTACAGCCTGCAGCATGCAGATTCAAGGGAAAGGCCATTTGGGTCACACTGGAACATAACATGCTGAGTGCTGTGTGCTCCACAGGCTGCACCTGAACTGTACCAGAGGTGAGAGCATGGACAGGCTGTAACACACAACTCTCTGGGCTGCTCTGTGCTCCTAACTGCTAATAACCTTCTCTGCTCCAACAAGTCATGCAAAAATACATGTGCTGCTTCCAGGCAAACTGTTTCCCTGCACTGATTTCAGGAGGGCAGGGGGGAGAAAAATACAACCCTCCTGCCCATTTCTCCTTTGATAGAAAACCACTCTCCTCGTGAGATCATTCCCCCAAAAACACGGTGGTAACATTCAATTAGACTGAGCAACATATCAGAGGAAGGACAAGCTTTTCCTCTGAAACAGAGACTCCTGTTTTCCCTGCTGAGAAGAACTAACGTTTCAGTTTCTAGCTTGATTTCCACTGACCTTTGTGATAGCAAAACACTCCACCAAGGACTTTCACGAGAAAACAGGAGACCTCCACAGAAGAGCAGGATGTTATGTGCAAGAGGTGCTTCAAGAGAAGGGGAGAGGGGAAGTCTGCCTCACAGTAGAATCAAGTCACAAAGCATCAAGCACAGCCAGTGTCTAGCAGGGAGCAAATTCACATGGTAGATCTTGCAGGCAAACACAAAAAAACCCCCCAGGATTCTGCTTAAGAAAGGCTTATACAAACATAGCAGGAGGGGTAGGACAAGCCAGTGCACCAAGGAAGACAGCAGTGAGCACAAGCACTGCTACCCAGTACTGCAAGAATCAGGGAACAAAATCAAAAGAAGGAAACTGAAGTGAAGGAAGCTAACCCCACAGGATTAAACATGAAAACAAAAATAAAAGACACTAGAAGACATTAGGCAAGAGAACACATCAAAGTTATTACTACAACACGGACGCTGACTTCATTCCAGAGCTGAGATTTCATCTCCACAGCCAGCCAGGCCACAGAACACAGGCACCCTCACACCCAAAATCCATACAAAAACAGATTGCACAGGACTTTCATGCTCTTAAACGTTTACACAGAGGACAGTTCCAAACGCTTCGTGGGTGGTGTCCGTGGCTCCTTAAGACCTTTGAATGCATTGATCTGTGTCTCCCTGACAAAGCACACAGCAGGGCCCAGGACAAACCTGCCATCCTGCCTCCCACCCGAGTCTTTCCCTCATGGCTTCTTATTCCACACTGGCCAAAAAAGTTTTGTAAAGCATCCCTGGGTCAGGAGACCTGCAGACGAAACAGAGAGATAAGCATTAGAAGACTCCAACCTGTCAGGACTCAGCAGGCACCATGACATGATTTTTTGGATGATTTATCTGCACACACAGTGTTAAGTACAGCAAAGCAGCCTATGGAGACAGAACTGAAGTTGCTGTTTGCATCCAGAGTGCTAAATAACCAAACCCTCCCTCTTCTCCCCATATGCTGTTTGCACAAAGATTTTTACCATACAGTAAACAAAACCCAAACTATTCACTAGTACAGTCAAATAGCCCCTAAATACTAAGCCACCAAAACCCATTCAGAATTACCATACTTCACGTTAACAAAGGGACAATGATGATGACAGTTTGTTGATACAGTTTATCACTTGCCAGCTGAACTTTTCTATCCAAAACTTCCCCATTTCCTAGGGAACCTCTATCATTTTCTAGGTTTGCATCCAACAAAACCCAACCTTCTTCTTTCCAAAACTTGGTCACAAAATGTAATCATTGCCAAGTGAAACTAACAGTCCTATGAATTACCTGAACATTATATTCAGTTACATCCATATGTTTATATAGTGAAACTAGGTGACATTTTTAATTGCGTCACACTGTTTTGCTCCTGAAAACAGGGAAAGTATTGGTGGGAAGGGGAAAGAAGGGAATGGCTTACTGTTTTTCAAATAGAAAGTGGAAGGTATGTGTTTTGTAAAACAAGAGTTACTTCTTCCAAATCAATTAGAGCTGAATCCAGTTTATCCAAGAAAGTGATATTTGCATTTTGATGAACACAGAAATTGTCAATCACTTAGGAAATATGAAGCCACCTGACCAGAGAATGGAAGCCTAGATTTTAGTAGCCCTGAGATATGATTTTTCTGGCAAGGTGGTTAAAGGACAAAAATCCATTTCAGGGCCTGGCACACCCTTCTAATAACTGATGGATGAGAAACTGCTTTGCCTCTTATCCATTCTGTAAAGCCTCCCTGCCCCCAATTCTCTGAGCTTGAGTGCTAATTGAGAACAGTATAGGAAAATGAGGAGGTTGATGAGCTGCTGAAAAATCCCAGACCTGGATCGACAAGCTGTTCCCTTCATAAATAGCAGCAGTAAAGGCACTTCTTTATTCTGCTGGGAGCTCAGTCCTCTCTTAGAACTACAGTCCGTTCCATCTGGCTACCCTCAGGAAGGACAATGATCTTCCAGCTTAAGCCACACCATAATGGGAAATGTGTAATTAACTGTTCTACACAGTATCACAAAAGGTCAGAATCAGAAAGGATGAAAAGCCCTGTCTTCATGTTTGCAGATGGCACAAGGCAGCTTTATTTGCATTTCTAAGCACTATTCAAGACATGTACAGTAGATTCTACATAATAAATGCCTCAAGAATGCAGGTATGTGCTCAGTTAAAACAGAGCCAGCCAAACTCCTCATGGCTGACTGTGCACCATGGGGGAGTAAGAGGTGTGGGAAACCCAAAGCAGCACAGTAATGCAGAAAGACTGGTATTTATGTCTTTGTTGATTTGTTTTTCTACTCTGTTCTCTATTACAGTTTTCTAAGCTATTAAACAGCAGCAAAAACACAGAATCATGAGCTCCATAACAATCTGTGCACAAGCCACACAAACATTAGAGTCTCAGCAAATGCCTAAACCATACATCAGTGCTGCATTTACATGCAGACCTTCATAATTGGAAGAGCTTGATGACAGGTGCTAGTGCAGGTAGTTGTAGGGTGTTTTCAGTTCACCTATAACCTCCTGAGATAAAATTTCTCTGTGACCATCTGATTCTACCATTAAAGCAGAAATTTTTGGACTTCACTCAAGAAAGGAACCTCCCCCTACCACCTTTCTCCCCCCTACTCTGCTCTTGTGAGGCCCCACCTGGAGTGCTACACACATTTCCGGTGTCCCCAACATGAGGAGGACATGGAACTGTTGGAGCAAGTCCAGAGAAGGCCACAAGGCTGATCAGAGCACTGGAGAACCTCCCCTACAAGGACAGGCTCAGAGAGTTGGGGCTCTTCAGCCTGGAGAAGAGAAGGTTGTGTGGAGACCTCAGAGCAACCTGCCAGGAGCTGAAGGGGCTCCAGGGAAGCTGCAGAGGGACTCTTGGTTAGGAACTGCAGTGTCAGGACAAGGAGGAATGGGTGAAAATTGGAAGAGGGAAACTTAGATTAGACATTAGGAAGAAGTTTTTCCCTGTGAGGGTGGTGAGACACTGGCACAGGTTGCCCAGGGAGGCTGTGGCTGCCCCAACCCTGGCAGTGTTCACAGCCAGGTTGGATAAAGCCTTGAGCAACCTGCTCTGGTGGGAGGTGTCCCTGCCCAGGGCAGGGGGCTGGGGCTGGATGACCTCTAAGGTCCACTCCAACCCCTTAACATACTATGACACTATGAAATTAGTCACCCTGTTACCATTTTGTCAGTACTCTTACCTTGTACAAATACAAAATATCTTGGGAGTTAAGGGGAATATTAGAACCCTTTAATGCCATTGGATACTTTAAACCCAGTTTGACCCTCATTAAGACAAGTTGCTCGTGTGGCTCTGAGGAAGAACCTTTTCTGCTTGTACAATATGGCAATCACCACAGGAATCAGCCTCCCAAGAGGTGCCAGAGGTACAGAGCAGACAGCCAAGAGGGAACACTCACCCAGTCACTAGCGCTCCAGCCTGTTCACCACATCTCGCACGGTGGCGATGAGGTTCTCGTTCTCCTGTGGGTTAGCCAGAACAATACTGTGCAGCCTATTCATATAGGAATCAATAGTTTCCATGGTGGGTGTTTCCCCACTACCTGCAGATAACACAGGATAATGAGCCACATGGAGTTTTCCATGACTGCAGCAATTCCCAAAAGTTAATACTGTGCTGAGGGTAATTTGTGTCAACACACAAACTGCTAAAGGAGGCAATTCTGCTATGCACCACCTCTTGTGACAGATTCTGCACAAGTGTCCTCCTAACTCCACAAAGTGAGTAGTTCCAAGGATATCAGGACTAATGAAGCATTGTTCTCTTTGATTTGAGTCTCATAGTTGATTATAACAAACCCTTTCAGCTGGGCATTCATAGTATCTAAGTGGATTTCCTAGCAGCTGATGATACAGACACAGCTTTTATTTTAATCAAGGAACTTGCAGGTCCTGTCTTTTCTATTTAGTAACATTTTCATAAAACAAGTGAAGGAGAGCAAGGGCTCAATGTGTGTCTCACTTTATTAGGAAGACTAAGAGCAGTAAGGAGAAAGTGTCATGTTGAAATAAAGCCCTGACACTCCACTCTCTGAATGCATTTTAAGATTTCATTACCTCGTACAACAAGAGCTCAGACAGAAGCACAGGACTACCCCAGCAGGCTGTGTGCTCTGAGTTCACAACATCAGGTAAACATCAGAAGTTTGATTTGCCGTGGCAGGCTGACCTGGCAGAGGGACTGCAGCAAAGCTGGTGGTGAGTGCCTGGCGCAGGGTCTCCAGGTGCTGCTGCAGCACCGTGTTGCGGCTGCGCTCCTGGATCACGTCCACCTCCAGTTTCTCCACGGCCGTGCGCATGCTCTCCACGTGTTTCTGCAGGGCAGCATTCCTCTCCTCAAACTCCATGTTGGATTTGCGCAGCTGCCGCAGCTCAGCTTCCCGTGCTGTGGACATAACCCACCCCATGGAGTCAAAAATGACAAACACCTAGTCTAGGATTGGCAGGCAATGGAGCAGAAGGTTCTAGAGTGCTCAAAACCTTGGAAAAGCAAGGAAAGGGTCCTGCAAGCGTTTAACTTACCTTTACTATGATTCAGGAACTCTTCTGTGAAGATTGGAATATCAAAGACAGATCTCTCCTTTGTATCTGCTTCTTTCTGCAAAAGAAAGAGGAAAAACATAGCTAAGCAGTTTGTTTTCAGGAATTCATTAAACTCTTTTGATCATGAAAATATAAAAGAAGGAAGACCAAACCCTGAGGCAGCTAATAAGATGGATGGATGGAACAACTTCCAGCTCCTTCCAAGAAAGGCTAAATTTAGGGTAGGTCTCCTGGTTTGTAAGGTTTAATAAAGGCCAAAGACCATTATCAAGAGATACCATATAACATACTCAAACACACCCTCTCACCCCAATGACACTACACATGAGAACCACTCAGTTTTGAAACTATCTGAATGTATTTACATTTGTCACTATCAACAACTGACACATTCTGCAATAGCCTATACAGGAATGTCAACCAACAGGAGACAGAGTGAGCAAAATGCACAGTAAGTTTCATCATTCTTAGTCCTTCACCACCAAAGAAAAAAACCCACTTTTAAGTCAGGAAATGCTCTATAACTTAGTTATAAAAAAAACAACCTAAAAAACTTGATTTGACTCAGGCAAAACCCCTAAAATCATCTACTTCATTCACAACTTCTGCATGTCAGAATGAATGTGAGCGAAGCTTGTTTAAAGCTTGTTTTGTCAGTGACAAAGCCAATGCAAATGTGGTTTGATAAACTGCAGAAACTACAATCAACCTGTAACATGACACAGAAACAAAGTTCTCCATGTCTGTGGAGAACAAAAGCTTTGCAAAACTCTCAAACACCATGGCTGATAATGTACCACGAACTCATCGTGGCAGGATTTGGTGTCCAGCAGGAAACCTGAATGTTTAACAGCTGATAAGAGAATTCTGGGCCCTGAGCTCAGAGGATCACATTGGTGTCTGCCTCATAGAGGGGCAGGAGGGGGTGAGCTGAATGCCACTTGGCAGTCAACCAAGACAGACCAGACTAGATGGAACTTCAGGTACTCTGTCCTCACCTGAGGTGACTCAATTGATTGCTTTCAAAGACAAGCTGACTTTTATTGTCTGGTACAGTTACACCTGGAGAGCTCTGTATCTACTGAGTGAGAACTCAAACCTCACTGAAGACACCAGAAACAGGCAAAACTGGAGGGAGGGGTAGCAAACCTTCCCAGGTCTGTTAGACAAAGCAGGATTCATGTGCTTTTCCCCTAAAGTTTTTAGATGTGTTGCTACAGGGAAAAAGTCTCAAGACTTGTGCACTGAAAAGTATTGACAGTTATGAAGCTTGGCTGGACACTTACACAACATCCATCTTGGATGTTCTAACTCATGTTTACTATTGCTACCTGTGTGCAAAGAGGCTCTCCCTTGGATCATCACTGGCTCCTAGGGAATAGATGATGGAGGGAGAGAGCACAGCCAAGGAAAGAGGGTGTTCTATATGCAGCCCTCGGATACAGGTTCTTCAGGTAAAAACCAATAAAAAAATTGGTAAAGCCATTAGATGAAACTGCTCAGCTTCCAAAAGGCAACCAAGAAATCCTGCTAAACAGAGGTCATGAAAACCATCAGCACTCTCCCTTACAGAACACATTACCCAGCACATGACAGATCCTCTTGAGAACTCTCAAGTACGTAAGCCACTCTGAGGTTCACTGAAGATTAAGATCATAAGGCTCTGACAACCTCCTATTGAAAAGGCCACAATGTGCTCAGGTTGTGTATCATTCAGTCAATTCTCAAACCAAAGGAGAGCCAAAATTGTTTCTATCATTTGCCTTAAATAAGTTCGAGATGTTTCTAGAGTGCCAACAAATACCAAGCTCATGTGGTTATTAAACCTGAGGATGAACTCTGAAGGTTGTGGAACCAATGTTCTTAGTGACATGGTGAAGTATGGTACAGAGAGAGCTGAGATTCTGGGGGGTTTAAGGTTTAAGCTCACCCTTCCTGGTATGGTCAGGCTGCAGACAAGGGAAGGAACAGATATACTGCACTACCTCATTACATGTTCTCAGTGTAAGTGGTTTTCTTCTTGTGTGCTCACACCACAGCAGACATTTCCCTGTCTTCAAAGGCTGTAGACACCACCAGGCAATGCCTGATCTCCCTGACATCTCTGAAATCTTACCAGTAAGAAGTGTATGAAGCTAGACCCACTTGGAACCAAACAGCTTGAGGAAATAAACAGTAACAGAATAATGGAGAACAACTATCAAGGGGCTGGATCACTGCTGATGACAATAGTTCCAGTGGATATTGCTCTATGTCATTTATATGAAACCAGGATTGGGAGGATGAAAAATGTTCTCTTCCATGCTCACAGACATGAGACAGTGTGCCCATGTTTTTCCAGGCTGTGTCTATTAAAAGTTTTTTCCCATCCCTTTGTTAAATTTTATTATAATTAGTATTTGGATTGCCCATTGCAATCCTTTCCAGAGGTCACCTCTATATGCAATATTAAAGATTACTTCAACACTGACTCAGAGGAACTAAATCATGAATACCTAAGTGGAACAAGGAGGGGGGGAAAGGTTTCTTTGACCTTATTTTCGTACACTCTCTCAAGAAACAATTTAATCAGCTCATACCTAATCACAAACACTGTAACAACAGCCAATGTGGATAAAAGAAAGCAGCAAGAGGACAAAAAGCTTTAGCCTCACTGCCAGTAATGACTTGAGTATATTCTTCCAAAAGCAATCTAAGTTTTTTTTCTGCTTGTTCCTTGCCTGTACAGGATTATAATGCTTGACTTCCCTGCACAAAAGGTGTGAAAGTGTATCAGGTGATAAACACATGGAATTTTATAGTGTGACAGTGAAAAATGCCAAGCAGGATGTTTCAGAGCAGGATGCCTGACCAGCAAGTTGTTAGTTCAACTATGTCCCAACTATCTAATGAAGCTTAAAAGTTGCCCAGGGTGAGGAGAACTCCTTTTTCACTGCATTTACACATGAGATATCAGCAGGGGTAGCTTGAGTTAGAAGGGTAAGAGGTAAGACTCTGAATGTGTAGTTTGCCACCTGTAAAATTTAAAGGTCATGTGACAGTCAAAGTCAACCCAGAACCTGAAGCCTTCAGTAATGTGCTCCTGTACAATTAAAGACAAACTTGGATTCAGAGACTAGAATCAGACAACTTGGGGATCATGTCCTTCTAAAGATTAATCTTACTGCAAGTACTTCCTTGAAGAGTTAATAAAAAGGCATATCAAAAACTTGCTACCCAAGCATTTTCCTGAAAGTGAAACTTATTTTCCTTCAAGCAGACAAGACCAGTAGCTGCCTCTCAGCAGTGCACAGCCTTGTCACTATTGTAATGAACACATTAAAAACCAACTGGATTGCTTTCCCAAGGCAGAAAAACTCACAAAGAAAAACAGATCCTTCACTTACAAGTGAAGAGGCTGTGTATAAACAAGATTTTTCATTGCTCTTTGCTTGCAATTTATTGGTAACCAGGAAAGAGCTCTGTGGCCTTAGGTAATACAACAGGAGAAAGGTGCAGCACTTTGAGGAGAGAGACACTATAGCCAAGCCAGGATACAAAGATTTGTGATGTATCTCACCAACTCAAGCAGGGGCATCTCATCTCCAGACATTAACACTATCTTCCAATTATCTGCATATGCAGACAGAGGTTTAAGCCAAAGATGTCCCAAATATTTGGTTGCTTTACCCATTTTCACCTCAAGGAAGCCATAAATATTGATGCTGCTGCAGAAAATCAGTCCCTCCCGACAGCCACCTCAAGGTGCTAACTTGGCAGGTTTCTCAAGGTCTGAAGCTATTTGTAAGTTTGATCCCACTGTTTACTTACCAAGTAATAAAAACTCTCTGCTTTGAAAAATTTCAAAGTAAAAATTACCTAACACACCAGATAAAGGCTCAGTTATACTGACTTGCACCCACTGACTGACTTAACATCACAGAACAGACCTATGTTTTCACTATATCCTATGCTCCAATTCATCTTAGATCATTTGTACCTGCCCAAGACTTCCTCAATTTAGTTTTCATCATATTACTGAGCATGAATACTCAGTTGTTTCTAACTTCTGATCAAAATCTGCATAGGAAGAAGAAGAATTCACACTCAGTTTCTGACTAGGGTCTTCAACTGGCCTCAGCTGGGTTTTGACTTCACTGTAGGTTTTTGTTGTTTCAAAATCTACCTGTGATGCAAGTGTAGAATGAAGAGGTTTACCTCATGATCATGAGCTGGCTGTCTTGCTCCATCTGAAAAAGAAAACAAACAAAAAGTCTCCCAAAACACACAAGACTTGAGAAACCAAGAACCCAAGACTTAAAGCAGTTACACAACAGTTCCAGACAGACACCTTGTGCAGCTCTCCCAGTAAGTCACACACAAGCTGTGTGATTGATGCTTCTCATGCCCATCCTCCACCACCATGTAGACACAGTTGAATTTACACAAACCTAATCACTTGACACACAGCTGATGTAAATGCCACAGAAAGAGCACATTCATTTTTTAACAGGCCTTTAAATCCAAGGCTTTGAGTGAGTGTCAGGCTACATGACTAGATGGGAATCTATTGTTCTAACTAGGCACATATTTTTGCCCCAGTCGATACCTTGTCTGTGTGATTTGCCTTTTTGTCTGTCCTGTAAGACTTTGTACAGTCTTCTGGTACTGCTCCAGCTCCCGCATGTAACGCTCCTTGTCTCTGTCTGCCTCATCCAGGTAGCGCTGAAACACAAAAGTCCAAGAGTTTCAGGCAGTTTCCTCTCCTTTGGGAGGAAGGGAAGAAAAACAACTTGTCAGATGAAGTGCTGATCCAATACACCTCTGCAAACAGGAAAGGAGTGAAGGAACAATAAGAATGTATGGTACTGCTCCAGCTCCCGCATGTAACGCTCCTTGTCTCTGTCTGCCTCATCCAGGTAGCGCTGAAACACAAAAGTCCAAGAGTTTCAGGCAGTTTCCTCTCCTTTGGGAGGAAGGGAAGAAAAACAACTTGTCAGATGAAGTGCTGATCCAATACACCTCTGCAAACAGGAAAGGAGTGAAGGAACAATAAGAATGTATGTGAGAGGCAAAGAGAGATTTCTGGATACAATTTCTGGTGTCCCATTTTCTCTCTCTTTTTTATTCAAATAACTACTCTGTTAACTCTTCTTTGTTAGACCTAGGAGTAGCCTGCTACTCAGCTCCTCAGCTCAGCGGCATATTACCCACACAATATAGACCAAACACTACAGAATTCCTTTTCTGTGGCCAGGATTCAGTACTGCCCAACAGGAAAGTCTTATCAGATCATGCTTTATGGTTCACACCTGTAACAGTGAGGTTCCAAATACACCACTCTCTTCATGCCCCACAGACAAAAAGCAGCACCACACACTTGGCACAGCTGAGAGGTGAACAGAACATCGTGGCTAATGGCAAGAGCAGCACAAAGACAAAAGATCCTGGCTTGACTGAATATAACCCATCTGAAGGTATTTCACACATCTGCATGACAGGACAAGCCTAAGTGGAGACTTCTGTAGGTGAACTGATGAACTGAACAACATTTAATGAATGGTAACAACATTCATGGGATCCTTTCAAGAAAAAAAGTTGCCTTCCCAATTTTTTCTCCCAATAAGTTAAAATTCAATGAATGTAAGTATTAAATCAGAGTGGACCTTAGTCACATGGTATGACTTATTTTCAGTAAGTCATCACATCAACACATTTAAGGTATAATTTCCATGCATTTGCAACACTGCTTTGACCCTGCTGAGGACACTCTTAACTGGACTGGGGTGCAAAATCTGGAGGCACTAGGTTTGCATTGCTTTTGGACATTGTATTCAATGAGACATTAATTCCTCTTTTCCCTCTCCAGCACTGTGCTGCTGAAAGGGTGCAGCACCCCAGGGAGAAACAACACAAGCTGCTCCTCCTCATGTTTTGGGTGGATAGTTTTGAACCAGCAAGAAGGATTTGTGCTGCACTAGCTGTAAGCAGGTGTCCTAGGTCCTCCAGCTCAGATCTATGCATCCCATTAGACACCTTCCCACATACAAAAAGGATTACTAGAGTGTTTGCTCTGTGACTATAGTAATGATCTTTTTCTGGGAGAGACTCATTATTTGGCCAGTCCAGTCAGCTCAACTAACCTGTCCTTATGCTCAGTGAATACAAAGGGAAACAGAAGAAATGGAAGACTTTCCCTTCATCTTCTGTATCAGACAGTAAGTTTGCAAATTGCTGGAGATGAGCCACCAAAGCAGCATGTGCTATTACAGACACGGGCTCTGAAGCAGCAGTGGCCTTTGCTGCCTTCATGAAAAAGGGCAGGAGAAGCTGAGGGGAAGGAAGTGCTCAGCAGTCTTTCCCTGACCTGCTCGAGGTTACACTTACAGCTTTACTCAAGGACAGATTCCCTGGGGATTTACAAAGCAGCATACAGAATGGAGATTTGAACTCAATTTCCTTTTTCCTAGGTTAAAAATCTGCCTCAGACATGATAAGAATATGTTAAGGGCTGAGGACAGAGGGGCAGAATGTCTTTATTTCTCTCTCCTCTCCCAGCAGACAGCAACATCCTTCTCACATGTGTTACCAGGTCAACTGCTTTGCCTTGCCACACATCCTTCATTCCAGTCAAATCACTATGCCTGTGCATCATTTTACATCATCTCTGCTTAACTTGTACTCTACAAGCTTAGCAAAAAGCAACAAAATGAAATCTTGGTTTCTTGCATCATCCCATTTTTCATTCAGCCATTATAAAAAAAACGTTAAGTATTATTTTATCCTCAAAGTATTTTTGAAAGTTCAAATATCCTGATAAATTCATATGAGAGCATCAAGTTGCACTGTGATTTAAAGAGTGGCAATCAGGTATGGAAGGTGAGACGATCACTAGCAATACCAAGGTCCACTCCAGGAGGATTAAAGAACCAGACCCAACATGGCCTTGGTCTTCATTTATCACAGTGCAAAGGCCACAGTAGCTCCAATTGGAAGACATCACATCCCCAAAGCTTTGGCCTTGGGAACTGGTAGGTCTTAGCTGTATCTGAGTTAGGTACAGCTGAGATACATCCAGAGGGATCACAGGAGGTGTGGGTTGCCTTACCAGATTAATCCTCCCTGTTTTGAATGTACCCTTTCAGTACCTTGGGGATACAGCTCTCCTCAGCTCACAGAATCATCAAGGCTGGAAGAGACCCCTAGGATCATCATGTCCAACCACTAACCTGTCACTGCTGGAATCCCTAAACCCTTATCTTCCAGCCTCTTAAACACTTCAGGGATGGTGACTCCACCACCTCCCTGGGCAATCTATTCCAATGCCTGACCATCCTAAGTCACACCTGGGTGGGATGACCCTACCACAGTTCATCATTTGAACTCTGAAGAACCTGCACCCTTTATTTTGAAACATCCTCCCCAACCTCCTCTCTAAACAACAACATCCCCATTTAACAACAGTCATGATCCACCAAGGAAAAGCAGTGTAATGGTACCCGTTTCTCCTCGGGAGGCAGTTTACTCCACTCATTGCCCAACATCCTGGTGATCTCTGGGAAAGGGACTTCAGGCCTCTTCGCTCGCAGCTGCTCCCTGCGCTCGTTCATGAACCTCACGTACCCTGTGAGGGGAGACTTGGGGGCATTGGTGTCCCTCAGGGGCTTCTTCCTCTTCCTCCCCTTGGCCCAGCCTCCTCGTTTAGTTCTTTGCTGCTGCAAAATCAAAGGGGAAGACAATTCAGACAGAATGACAACCACCACCTCTGGAAGGAACGAACATCCATGTCTCAAACACTCCCATCAGCAGGACATCACTGCAACATGTCCTCAAACCTTAACTTTAGAGCAACCCTGACTTTTCTCTAAGCAAAGACAAATGGTGAAAAGCTGTTTATAGTATCTCCTGGTCCATAGGGCCAATAAAACAACATTGGCATCAACTTCTGATTGTAAAAGCACTGACTGACACTTCAATTTTCATCTTAGCTAATGCAACTGCAAATATTAATTTTATTATTGTTGGCTTGTTTTATTTACATTTTGTCCTGTTTTTAATTATCCTCAGCCTCACATATCCTCCCAGTCATTACTTCAATGTAACTACTGGAGAGATTTTGTGTATTAGTTAACAACTGATAACTATTTTGCCCATTCCAAATCTTTTTCCTTGGTGCACCATGTGCCCAAAACGTGGGTGAAAGGACAGAACAGAGGCTTTTCTAGTTCATCTGTTCTGTAGGGTTTCTTTCCCACTAATCACCTCCAGTGGAGCAACAAACAAACTCCCAAGGAGAGAATACTGTAGGATTTGCCTGTGGCACACTGAGCTCACAGGAATAACATCATTATCACACATTTTCTTGGCTCCTTACTATTCCTCCAGCAATCTCTGGACAACACTATTTTCTGATGTTATGTACATACAACCATTTCAGTACTTCTAATCTTTCCCCAGATCAACATGTTCCTGACATCTTGTTACTTTTAGTTTCCCTCCTGGAATTTTACCACTTAATTAAAAAAGGACCTCACAGCTGAATATCAAATGCATCTATCAAAAAAACCCAAAGCCACTTTGTTGTTAAACTTCAGCTCCCTCCTGATTTAGTCACCAAAACTCACTGCTGGAGGGTGCACAAGGTATAGTCTAAAGCAAGAAAAGCATGATGCTTTCAAAGACATCAGTTACTACCAGAACAGGACAATGGTCTCACTTTGGTGACTCAAAGGAGAGAAAATCAGTTGGGGCAGTGGAACATTCAGTCCTGTGGACTCTGCTAGCTGAGCTGAAGCCCCATGTGGTGTTCTCTGCACATTCCCACTCCCAGCTTTCCTTGGCTACCTGTGTGCAGCTGAGCAACAACAAGGAATTGTGATGAAAACAGCAAATGGATGAAAATTAGTGATCCTATCCAAAGACATCTGAGTAGGTAAGAAACTGTAAGGACAAAACTCCATCCTTTTGCTTCATTGAGAAGTCACTGTTATTCATCTCACCTCCTCCTCAGGCTTCTGCTCAGTGGTTTCAGCAGCATTAGAGGACTCATTTTGCAGCTGCTGAGCCTGAGACAAGTCCTCCACCAAATCTGGGTTATTCACAGGCTGTGAAGTTCCACCACTGAACGAACTCTCCGAATTAGCTAGTCTGGAAAAGCACATAATAGCAAAACAAAAAACCTCATCATCACATTGCTAAACCACTTCCTCCCTAATCTTCTAAAACATGCAAAAATGTTGCAAATATATTCATTTTCACACCAGCAATAATAAATAAAAAGGGATTTAAAAGCGATTTTTGAAGAACTGAATGTTTCATCCAAACAACTGCTGCAACTGCCACAGTTACTATGGACTTGCAAAGCCAGTTTGGTTTTTAAAGTGCTGTTTGGTTTCACTTTTAGTGAAGCATTTGATTGTACAAACAACTGTCAGGCAAGTATATGTTTGGATCATAAGCCAGGGAGCATGAATCTGCCCTCCTTCAAAAATACCCTAAGGAATTTGCAACAAGTAGTTTCACTGTCAACCAACACAACCTTCTGGATGTGTTTAATATATTTCTCTGCAAATACACCTAAAGGTCTGTGCCTGATTCTGGACTGAACTTCATTCCACACCATCTCCTCCTGATCCATGTGGGTATTCAAATCACAAACATGAGTAGCTCCCAACAGGCTCCAGAATGGCCATTACTGAATTTTGCTGCAAGAGCTGTAACAATCTGCCTCAGCCCAAGAAAAGGCCAAGCTGTCTGCAGGCAAAAAGCAAAGCAAGCAGGCAGAAATATTTCTGGAGGTAGACAGAGATGAGCACACATCTTGGGGCAACAACCCCCTAGATATCCTCAGCACTGTGCTCAGCGGGCAAATGAATGCAGGATTTTTGGACTCAGCTCAGATTCTGATCCCTTCCTGAGCCAGGCTAAGGTGGCTTGGCCTTACCCAGTTACAATCATGCAAATTCCTTTAACAGCAGTGTATGCTTCAAATCTGCTTTGTTCATTTACTCCCATCTACAGCTGCTTATGACTATGGCAAAATTTACATATTCAAAATAACCGTTTCTGTTACACTAACAGGAATAGAGCTATAGAAATCTGAGATATAGAACAGAATTGTTAGTTGAATGCCCATAGGAAAATTTGTCTTGAAGTAGACGGAACAGCTTATTTTCACTACTCATTACATTCAGAAATTGTGGCATAATCACTGCTTAAGACACAAGGGCTGGAGAGATCCACTGCCTGCCTGATTTGGAGGTACCAGATTGAGTTCATATTACTGACAATTAGAGAGGGAGCAAGGGAACAGAGCTACACCCTCCCATGAGTTAATTACATTTGGTGTGTGTCAAAAGAAAATGGAACAGTACAGCTTTACAGTCACTGTTACAGTCTGAGGAATATTTGAGTTTTCCTACCCATTCCCCCTTAGCAGGGAAGGTCTCTAAACCACACATATGGGAAGAACTCCAATGGGACGTGGCTGTTTGCAGCAAATGCTGCTGAAAGCTCAGCCAACACATCAACACCTTAACAACATGACATGGACCTCATTTGGCACCAGCAAATTTGAACTTCCAGGTCTGTAAATCCAGATTCAGACCCACTTGAAGGATGTGTGCCCACATTAATTTTGAGAGGGCTTCACCTGCCTGCAAAGTCTGAATTTTATTACTTGGTGCATTGCAAAACAGAAAAGAAGCTTCGAGTATCAAAACACAGCAAGAATCCCACAGACTCCTAAGGACAACTTCTTTTGGCATTGTTATTCTAAAAGAGGCCTTTGTTGCAGTCTGTAAAAGCAGAGTCAGTCTGACAAAAATGAATCTCTGTGATTTTCAGAGATCAGTGTGAGCAGTGTATTTTCAATAAAAATAACTTATTTAGCAGGGACCATTTTAGCCAACAGATACACCTCCCTCTCTGTCCCCATCATGCCACTTGTCTTACACTAAAGTCCTAGGGATTTACCTCTTGAAGGTAAGAGATATTAAAGACAGGTTGTGATCACTTCCATCAGTTCAGAAGAGTCCTGTGATGTTCTATCAAGGCCAAAAGAATGTTAAGATCTATTTTTCTTGGGTTTGTTTCTTTTTTTTCAGTCATTTAGAATGCTTTCTTCCCACTTAAACAGTTTCCTTGGCAAGTCCAGAGACAGTATCTACCAGCTGAAGGTGAAAAAGGAGTTGCTTACCCAGTTACATTAATTTCACCACCTTCCTTAGACCCATCCTCATCTGTAAAGAGTGGAGGAAGGTTGGAGCCAGTCACCAAGTTCTCCATACCTCTGGGGAAAGAAAAATCAAGGTAAAACAGGTGAGTTATCTATCTCATCGATTCCCTCCAGCAGCACTTCAGTTCAAACATGACAACATACCAGAGACTTTTTTACCTCATAAACTAACTGGCCAGTCATAGCTGGATCTTCCTTAAGCAGACTGCTTCTAGGTGGTGCACACGCTGACCTCTAGCACAGAAACACCCTTTACTCGTGTACAGAAAAGACTCAACCAGGAATGCAATCAAATTCCTGCCCTACCCTTACAAACCAGGGACTGAATATAGTTTTGGGGTCTCAGCCTCAGAGACGTGGCAAAAACTGACCAGCAAAGGGCTCCCAAGGTGCTCAGGGATCTAGAGCTGATCAGGGATGTTGAGGAAATCAGCCTTGCTCAGGCTGGCAGAGGGGCCAGGGCAAATCTCACAGGTGCCTAACGCTACCAGATGGAAGTGGCAGAGATCACAGAACCAAATTCTCCCTAGTCACATTGGCTTTGAAGGTCCAGGCTGGACACCAGGAGGTAGCTGTTCCCAGAGAGGTGGCCATGGAGTCTATCCTGGCAGATTTTAAATGTTAAAGGCTGTAACTGACCTAAACTAGTGCTGGCAATAGTTCTGCTCTGAGTGGGAGGCTGGACTAAGATGACCTCCCTCCAGATGTCCCTTCCAAGCAACATCTGCAGTTCTCTGGATCAGAACTCCACATTATGTTTTCTTTCTAACACTATAATCTCTGACATGAAAAGGAAGAAAACTCAAATAATATAATGCTTTTAGGAAAAGTGGTGAGATACTCTGGTGGAACAAATAGGATTTTAATCCTTCAAGAAGGCAGTGCAAACAGCAATTCTTCACACACAGAGAAGAATCTCCATCCAGGCTTGGACTTTGTGTATCACAAGAAATCTGAAAATGCAACTGATTTGAAAAATGATGCCCACAAAGCTGTTTAAGCACAGCTATTAAATACACAACAAAAATTGCTTCATGCAGTTCTCAACTGAAGAGAAATTAAGTTTTGCTTTATGTTAGAGTCTTAGTTTTGTCAGTCAAAAGTCATAAATTATCTTCAAAATATGAAGCTTAAGCAACTGGAATGAAAAGCTCTATGCTCACTGTGACCTTCTCACCAGGTCACTGATATGTCTGCTCACATCTGGCCCTGGTGAGCAGCAGCAAACTGCAGGACACCAACCTTAACAACACAGAACACAAACACAGGAAGTTGGGAGGACACACATATTTTTTTATTTAACCCATATGTTTTAGATACTAACTCTTTCAGCTGATACTGAGCTCCATCCTAAAGAAAATGTAACACCAGTGGATTTACAATGGCTTCTAAGTAGTTCCAGAAAGCAAGAAAACAAGACTGTTCTCCTAAAGCTCACTGAGAACAGATAGGAACCAACACAAGTCTTTCAGTCCTGTTTCTCAGGGATAACTGTCCCATACCTTTGCTCCAAGGCCACAATCCACTGCTCCCAACCCCACTGCAGAGCTGCATGTTCACTTCAGGGACCTAACAAAATGGCCAAAGTGAAAACCTGATTCAAAGAACAGGAATGAGGAGGGAAAGGGACTGTGCTTCTTGAACTTGAGCATTTACAGAACGCACAGGACTTGACAAGGGAAATCCCATCTAGGTTTGTTCTGAATGTTTGTGCAGCTCTGTCAATTCACACTCTGGCTACAGCCCCTAATGAGACACATTTGACTAAATTCAAGGCAAGAAACAATGTGCACTTGATTTTTTAACTAAACTAAAGGGCAAAGGGCAAACAGTCCTCAGTCACTGTGCCTTTCCAATCACTACATCCCAACAGATGACCTTAAAAGAATTAGAATGACTGAACTATTTAGCCACCCAATTGCAAGGTAAGGTTATGCACACGTATCACTTACTACAGCTAAGCATATGTAAATATGAAGTCAGCATCAGAAATGCAACTTAGAGCCTGATTATAAACCACTGCAGGAGTTCCAATTACCTCACTGCCAGTTCTAGTTTTAGAAACATTACTGCTGAGTGGAGGATTTTTCTCCTGAAGTCTCTCATCCTTCTCTGCCAGAACAAACAGCTGCAAACTTTACCATTCAGAGGATAACAGATTTTTTTTTTTAAATCATCTTCTACGTCACAGAAAGGCCACAGATTTCCTTATCTAAGCATCAGAATCCAAACACTTCAGAATGTAAACAATCTAAACTCTGATGATTTATGGAGAGAAAAGCCCCCAGGATCATCACTTCCTCAGTCTGCCCACATCTCCCCAGAACATCAGAGAGCAAACTGAAGCAAGCCCATCTCCCATTAAACCACAATGCTTTTGGAGCTGTCACAGGCAGTTCATGTTCTCCCTGACAGCAGCATTTTCTCCCATCAAGCTGGAGCAGAAGCATCTTATCCAATGGACTTGACTGCAAAAAAATCAAATTTGACCTTCTCCCTACAGGCAACTCATCAGACAAAGGTCTTTCTGACTTTAGGAAAGCTGTGAGCCAAACCCAATGGGACCAAGTTTTTTCTGTCAAACCAGAAAATATACACCAGAAAACAGCAAACTGCTTTTATTTTTACTTCTTGCCAGTAAAAACACAGAAACACTAGAGACCAAAAAAAAGACTTGCAGGAAAAAATTCCTGAGTCCCACTGCATTTCCAAGAAGCTTAAGGAAAGAAGGGAAAGATGCAAAGCTTAGGTTTATGCTTAGTCTGTTTGGGTCTTTGTAACAAATACTAACAAAGCTATTCATACTCAGTCCTGAAACAGCTGCCAAACATCTGCAAAAATGTATTTTTAAAACCACAAGTGTTCAGTTCTGTATTCTACTCTTTTTTATATAAATGCTTTAGGATGGAGCACATGCAAGACACCTCATCCCTATAAAATCCTCCTGTTTTCTGGAATTTTAAGCCCACAGGAAAGGTATATACTCAGCTCTTCGGACAAAGGCAAGCACAGCTCCACACTGACTCTCCCTTCCCCCAAATACAAGAATAAAATTTTGCACTAGCAATAAATCAGCCCTTTAGATCACTTCAGGGAAAACGAAACTCCCCAAGGAGATGGACCGTACAAACCATTGGGCTGTTCACCCCTGGACAGCTGAAGGAACTGTGGTTCCCTCTGGCAGCCAGAGGGAAGGGTTTGCTATCTGGTTCTTTGCTGCAGGTATGAAGCACCTATGGACTAGGAGAGTTCATTCTATTCTGAGCTAACTTTCTTCATGAGAGCATCAGCTGCCATTTCAGCTACTGCCACTAACTTTGTGAAATAAATTTAATTCTCACGTGACAGATCTCACGTGAGAAACTATGAACCATTCAGATGACAAAAGTATCAACATAAATGGTAATTTTCCTTCATCACTACCTAAGGTAAGGCCAGTACTTCACCACCAGGATGGCACTGGCTTTGGCAATCTGTCCATAAAAACCTCTTCTAATTTCCAGTTACTACAGGCAATTTAAGTCTACCTCTTTACCTGCTCTGCCACTGGAAAATTTCTTGGACCTGAGGACTCCATATTTCACAGGACAAAGTTTTCCAGTAGCTGCTTTTATATTAACAAGGCAGAAGGGATTCCCCACAAACCCCCACAACCAGCAGACCCTGCCTGGAGCACAGACACTGCTCAAACCACAGCGACTACCAATTATCCAAGGCCTCACCAGACCCTGTTACCTGCCCCAGCAGTCAGCAAACACTTTCCTTCCAAACTGAACTTCCATCCCTCTGATCATTTATGTCAGTAAGACTCAATCCTTCACTGCTTGTAAAATGCAAACAAACTACTTTGCTCATGGCACTTTTATTACAAAATGTAAATCAACAGGCTGAAGGTTCTCGTGGTGTTTGCCCACGTCAAACATTTTTACCAGCATCACACAAGTGAAACAAGAAACAGTATTAATTAATGCTGGATTTAAAATTCCAAACAAGTATTGTGAACCAGAGATAGCTGTGAACCAGGGAATCCTGACTGTTACTGGCCAGGGAAATGCAGAGTTACATATTACCTGATCTAGTGAGGTGTCCCTGCCCAGGACAGGGGTTGGGACTAGATGCTCTGTAAGGTCCATTCCAACCCCTAAATTCTATGATTCTGTGATACTTGAAAATAAAATAATTGAGGAGTGGATACACCTGCTGAGATGGAAAAGTTGTTTTAAAGCTATTTTAGCACCTCTGCTCTCTCTCAAAGCCTTATTCATCACCACAGTTGTCAGGGAAGTAGAGCACAGACTCCCAGCTCACCGATATTCCGGGAGCGGAAACTCTGGCTGCTGCCAGAGGAATACAGATGGGAATTTTTCATGCACAAACCCACCAAAAACAAGTCATTATGGCCGTTTCAGAGAATATGGGGTCGAATACTTTGGATGTGAGAATGCACTGAAAAAGGCATTGATTATATACTTAAAAGAATGACTCACCACAGGCTTCATGACCCAACACAAAAGCATCTACTCTGACCTCAAGAGCCACAAAGACAGCATGGAACTGGATATTCTAACTGCACTGATATGGGCACAGGGACAAAGGTTAGAGGAAATGAAGTGTGGGAAGAGTCAGTGATTCTCACACAAAACAAGCAACTCATTCTGCCTGTTTGCAGACAAGATCCATCTTTAGACAAAGATAGGACATGCCAGCTTCCACACATTTTTGCTCCTCTTTCCTTGCATCATTCCAACATAAAACAAATGAGTCTGAGCACCCAAACCTGTCATTCAGAGGAAATCACAATTTCCAGACATCCTTAGCTGTGTGAAATAACAGGTATATAAACCTTTACTCTGATCTGCAACTGCTTTCCCCTTAAAAGGTCAGAACTGATACTTGCTAGCTGTAATAGCAACAACACTGCAGAACTGAGTGGAGCTGTTTGCTTCTAATCTGTTCTTAAAGCCCTCTGGTAACAGTTTAATATGTATCAGAAATGAAAGTTTGGATGTATACTGCACGAAGTGCACCAAAATATCTTTTTCAGCCAAGG